AGAGAGTATTTTGAGCTTTGGAGATGTAGACATCCTAATAATAAAGGGCTACGCAGTCATGTGTTAATGACACAACACACAACTCCAGGTACGTTTTGGATGAGGTAAAAACATTCTAACATGGTTAAAAGCTCACCAGCTTAAATTTTGCATAATATAGGATCTTTAACCATTTTTGATGCATTCATTTCATCTTAAAATGCAAATATATGCTTGTGCTTGTCATCTTTTTCTAGTGAGGACAAAAGGAGAGTCAAGATGAAGCAGGATTTCTGGGAGTACCATGCAAATGGAGATATCAAATCTGGGCCCATCTCTGATAACTACATCTTCACTGCCAACAGTACCGCATCTCGGGCTTACAGTGCTGTGGAAATGGAGATTATACCAGGGAAAATTGTAACGGAAATTAGACAGTATTTCTACAAGTGAGTATTATTATTATTATTATTATTATTATTATTATTAGAGGCAGATATTGTTGGTAGAATTTGATTTTTAACTATCAAAATGCAGATGTTTTGACTGGTTTCGTTGATTATATCTCTGTAATTATTGGGTATATCCATAGGAAACTTAAATGACTTAAAAGTGCACTGTGTAACTTTGTTGTTGAGGCTCAGTTACCTGCTTGTTTCTATGGATATGTCATTGCTCTGCCTAGCATTTTCTCACTTAAAATATGACAACTTCATTCAGAAACACAGGCATGATTGATCATCAAAAGTCAAATATGGCAAATTTGTAGACCTAACCCATGCCAAAAAATATGTAAGTATTTTTTTCTTTATGTTAGGGATAAAAGTGATAAGGACTATGCCTTCTCCATCACCACGCGAGTCCCTGAATGCTACAAGAGTAAAGTGCAGTGCCATCGGCTGGAGCAGACATACACTGTGGGCCCACTCCAGATGAACACAGAGGTAGTTCTCAGGACTACCTCCTCTTTGGGCAACAATAGGACTCTGTGCACTGATGATAATGGATACCAGATGATGAAGAGGACGTACAGAGAGTTTGTCAATAACACTTTAGCACGAGTAAGTCAACTGCCAAATGTCTGGTATTGACATCATGTTGGGGGTGTTCTAATTATTCCACCATTACAGATACGGGTAGCAGTTACCCTGGTGACACCATGCACACATTAGCAAACACAATCCAACAAGTTTTAAAATAATCTGAAAACTCAAACTAAATCTTGGATTAAAGTCTAACTTGAATCACAGAGCTTCTAACAGAGTAGTGCTTTCAATTAGCTTTACACCCTCAGGGAATGTTGATGATATCAGTTGCAAAGTATCAATTGTTTTTTGTTTTGTTTGTTTTTTTTACCATAAATGAATAATTGGTACATTTAATACAATTGTAGAACTATTACCCAATGGTTCGAGCTGCATATATTGAAGATGACCAAAGTAGACTCGTGCTCATCAGTGACAGAGCTCATGGTGTTTCTAGTCAAAGCAATGGACAAATTGAGGTAAAACAAAATTAAAAAACAAACTTTTATTACAAAGAAATCTGAAATAACATAATTATTTTCATAGGTGATGTTGCATCGTCGTCTCTGGAACAACTTACCCTGGAACCTGGGTTATAACCTCACCCTGAATGACAGCTCCGTGGTGCGCCCTACATTGTGGATGATAATAGGCTCCCTGACTGTAACCACTAAAGTTTACCACAGGGAGGCGATAGAGATGCAGCATAGGCCTGTGGTTATGGCTATAGACCAACCCAGTAAGTGAAGAAAGTGTCCAATTCCTGTAACTTCTCATTACATTGCATCCAAACACGTTTTTTCAATTACCTTTTTAATATACATAGTATACAACATTAAAGGTATTGTACTATGTAAAAATGACTCTTGTAAGATTTAAACCGTGTTAGAATATTCTTACCTCATCAAAAACATACCTGGAGTTGTGTTTTGTTTCATTCACACTTTTAAGTAAGTCTGTCTACATCCCCCATCTCAAAAGTCCATCTTGGAATGTCTTGAAGCAGCTGTCCACTCAGCTACCTTTGACCTTTTTCCTCAGTAGAGATTAGCAATCCAACTTTGAAATTATCTAAATGATTCTAGTTAAGGTGTATGGAGTTTAAAACGACAGTTTAGCACGTCCTGTATTACTACATGACATCACAAGCAGAGTAGAGAGAAGAACTCAACTTAAATATACAGGATTTATGTGTTAAACATGTGTGAATGAAACAAACAACTCCAGGAATGTTTTTGATGAGGAAACATTATGACATAGAAGAGAAAGTAGCATAACATATTCTTTTATATTTTTTCTTTTGCAGAGAAGCCATTGAAAACTCAGACTACTCAAGGGTTTCCAGTTCCTACAGTGGTCCTCCCTCCAAACCTCCATCTGCTCAGCTTCAGTATCCCAGGGTGGAACTACAGCTCCAGACATGAGGCTCATATTAAGCAACTAGATAAAGGTTTGTTTACTCCACGTTTGTTTGCTGACAGTTGTGAGAGGGACAAAGTGTTCTAAAATGTTCATTTAATTTGAGTATTCAAATCAAATCAAATTCAAAGTGTTCCTTGTTTTCCATTTCAGTTTTTTTTTTTTTTTTTTTAAGACCTGTAACGGTAATTACTATACCAACTTATTGTTCAGTATTTCATAGACAGAACAATAATTTTGGGGTCAGTATTTAATGTGGGGATTTTTTCTTTCTGTTGGGAACCACGGTGAGATTTGAGCCAAAGAGGGTTGAATAAATACTAGTAAATTCTACTTCTATGATTCATTATAAGATACAAGCCTACCATCTTTTATGTATTAATTGCAGTTCATATTTTTAACAATATTGTACATTTATAATACTTTTTGTTGGATAATTCTGTTTCATAGTTTGGTTTCAGTATTATTGTTTATCACCTATATTTAGTTTTAGTGGAGCAATATATCCCATTTCAAAATTTGTTATTGTGTTTTCATCAAAGGTCAAAACCACCACACAGCGCCTGACTATGACCGCGTGCTATTACGAATAATGCATTTATTTGAGGAAGGAGAAGACTCCGAGTTCTCAAAGGCGGTTACTATAAACATTAAGGTAATAATAAATACTGGTAATTACATTGTGAAATATGATGTCACACTTAAAGGTCTTATATTATGCAAAATGGAGTTGTGTTTTGTTTCATTCACACATTTGTTTGAGTAACACTTTATTATTAGACTGTCTTCATCTCCAAATGTCAAAATGTTCTGTTCCTCCTTGTGATGTTATTTAGTGGTTTTAGTGGTTAGTTTTCAAGTTAACAGCTACCTTTTACATTTTGTTCAGTAGATATTGGCTGTTCCAGGACTGTAATCCTCCAAATGACTGTCATGAAGGTGTATGGAGTTTAAAAACACAAAATAACATCATAAGGTGGAACAGTGATTTCAGTTTGAGAGAAGAACTCCTAAATATGCAGGGTTTGTGTGTTAAACATGTGTGTATGAAACAAAACAAAACTCCAGGTATGTTTGTGATGAGGAAACAACATTATAAAATCGCATAATATCGGCGCTTTAAATGTCATTCAAATTTGTGGTCCCGAACAGGAAGTATTGCAGGGATTAGGGGAAGTGAGAGCATTAGAGGAGCGCTCCCTCACTGGAACATGGGACATCAGCACTCTGCAGAGGTGGAAGTGGAAAACTGCAGACCATTCACAAACCCGTATGTGACTTTTATAACAATACAGTGTTTTAACTTTCACTTATAACCTGTGTGCACTTCTTTTTCAGAAAACAATAGAGGCTACACAAACGAAACTTTCACTGTCACAATCTTGCCCAAAGAGATCCGCACCTTCTTTGTTTACTTCTGATTAGACTGTTTATATCTTACTAGAAGCTTAAAGGTGCATTATGTAACTTTTTGGGTGGGGTCTGTCACCTGCTTGATTCTAACAATATGTCACAGCTCTGCCTGGAAAATTGAACGGCATTCTGACTGTGAGCGCATTTGCTGCTCCACAGATCTGACTTGTAACTTGGCCTGGTCTCTATGATAATAGAAAGGTTCGATATCATACTTTGAAACATTCCAGACAAAGCAATAACATCTCCATGAAAAACAGCATTTGACAGCCCTCCACCAGAAACGTTATGCAATGCACCTTTAAAACAACAGCCTTTCTATGGATGAATGCACTTTAAAATTGTAGTTTATTAAAATTTTTTGAAGCAACCTTTTGAGAGTGATTTTTGCATATTTTTCATAACTCTGTCCAAGTTGTATTTGTTTTTGCATTGTAATATATACAGGTTTTATATTACATGAAATGTACTCCCATGAACTTTAAGTCATGTTACAATGTGGTTACCTCATCAGAAACAAACCTGGAGTTGTGTTGCTTTATTCACATGTTTGCGTAATCCTTTATTTTTAGTTGTCTACATCTCCAAAGCTCAAAATGCTCTGTACCACCTTGAGATGTCATGTAGTGGTAGTTTTCAAGTTAACGTTTCAGCTTTATTTCAGTAGCGACTGACAATTTCAGGGTTGAAATTATCCAAATGATTTTAGTGAAGGTGTATGGAGTTTAACACAGTGGAGCACTATTTGCACTATATATGCACTAGCAGTATTACCACATGGCATCACAAGGTGGAACAGAGCCTAAAGTCAACTTAATGTACAAGATTTGTTTGGTAATATGTGTGAATGAAACAAAACGATGATGTTTTGATGAGGAAACAGCATTGCAACATGGACCAGAAAATAGTATAATACAGGCTCTTTAATGTGCATTCTGACATAAGCTTGTAAATTCTTACATCAAATCAAAGCTGTTCAAAGTTGTTATAACTAGAATGTTTGGCCTTATTATATATCAATAGCTTTGTCAGTTAAAATGCACTTGGGCTAGTTGGAAACTACAGTAGCAGCAGCAGTTCCAATAAGAGCCTCTTCCCGCTAGAGGCGCCATTTGCCTTTTTAACCAATATGCTGGATTCGGGTTGAAGACAACACCCGGAGATATAACAATGGTTTACGGTGCAGATGCTCCTGACGCTCGACTCTTCCAGCTGTTTTAATGTACCAGTGACAGAGGATATAGGTTACCATGTTTCTTCTGCAATAACATCCATGTCGCGCCCATAAAGAGCACAACATCACAGCTATCTCTGCACGATGAGTAACGCCACTGTAAGTATTCTTCCTTATAACGCTCATTTATTATTACTTATTATACAGTTTGTTACGATGCGCGGTCACACATTTTGATGCTAGTTGTTGGATGTAGGTGTTTTCACGGATATGATTAAAAATGCATGAGATTTATGCCTGCGGATGCTGAGGAGGCGTTGCTCGCGTTGCTAGGATACAAGAGCTTACTTGTAGCATCTCTGTCTGGGAGTCTGGCTCACACAACAGTGCATAATCTATCTCCTTTTGTTTTTGTTTGTGGTTAGAAACGAGAATTGGAGCAGAAGAGGAGACTTCAGCACTTTCTGGCTGATTTGGCTTTACTTGGATCATTACAGGTTTGACAGTAAAACATATATGAATAATAAGAGGCATAAATGATGACTTGATGTTTGATAATGGACTACAGCAGTTATCGAATGTTCCACATTAAGTGCCACCTCAGCAAAGATTGTCTTTCTGACCAGATTCAAACCAGAGATATAACAGGGCTTCAGCCTTCAGGTCGAAATGAAAGAGCCCATATTACACTATTTTCTGATCTATGTTGTTGTTTCCTTATCAGAAACATACCTGGAGTTGTGTTTTCTTCATTCATATTAACACACAAACCCTCCATATTTAGAGTTCTTGTCTCAAACTGAAAACACTCAACTTGTAGTGTCATGCATAAAGGTTTTCATTCCGCACTCTTCTCTCCAATTTATGTCTCTCTTTTTTCATTTTAATCTTCATGATTATTTATGTTTTGATTTGTTTTTATTATGATTTTAATGTATTTCTTATTCTGTAAAGCACTTTGAATTACTTTGTGTACGAATTGTGCTATACAAATAAACTTGCCTTGCCTTGCCTTGCATAATACAGGATGTGCTCCACTGTGTTTTTAACATCCATACACCTTCACAGAATCATTTGGATGCTTTTATCGCTGGAATTGCCAATTTCACAAGATGGAAAGAGCATTTTGATCTTTGGAGAGGTAGACAAACTAATAATAAAGTGTTACTCAAATATGTGTGAATGAAACAAAACACAACTTCAGGTATGTTTTTGAGAAGGTAACAACAACATTATAACATGACTTAAAGGTCACAAGAGTCAGTTTTGAATAATATAGTACCTTTAAGGCTGTACTGATTAAACTCCACTATAATCACAGTAGTTATAACAATAACCTGTCCAAAGGGTGGCAAAACCGTGTATAAAATTGACTCAAAATAAGAAAACCCTAGACCTGCGGAGCATCTTCTACACCAAGAGAATAACTGCAGTAATCTATTAACAATTAAATTATATTATATTTAGCTAACCGCTATTATCAGCTGGTTCAGTTGTGATTCTGATTTGAGTCATTATATATTTTTCTTCTTTAGGGTTTTAAATATTTTCAACCATGGCTCAGAGGAAAAGAAGAACTACTCCTAACAGTTGTCAATGAAGATTTGGTCAGTTTCTGTGTCCATCTTTTCTATTTTTCTACTATTTTATTTCCATCTCTTTACTTTGCAAGTAAAAACTCTGACCTTTTACAACCTCTGCACAGGGCTGGCACTCTCCTGCATATGTGGTTTCTAGGGCCTCTTCCAGCAGTAGCAGTAACAGCAGTGACGCCTCCCCCAGCAGCAGCACTCTAAGCCTGGCCAGCAGTCGAAGCAGCTCCCCCCTGCCTGGAGATCCACTGCCCACACGCAACAACAGCGTGCATAAAAGCCGGTCAGATCCAGTCAGGTAGGTGGTGGCCAGTAGTGGAAGGCAAAGAAGCCAGAGTAAAAAAGTACTGTATTTAATTATACGTTTTACATCTCTGCTTTACTTAAAGGTGCATTGTGTAACTTTGCTGGTGAGGGTCTGCCAAATGCTTATCTCCACAGAGGTGTTAATGCTTTGTCTGGTATGGTATTAAACCTTGGATATTTTCATGTAGACCAAGCCACAGGTTAAGATGTGTGGAGGGGCAAACCCACTCACAGTCAGAATGCCTGTTTTTCTAGGTATTTTTGAGCCATAAAACTACCTGCAATTTAATACATTTGAGCTAGAGATGTTTAAGGTCATATTATGGAACCTTTCAGGCAGAGCAGTCACATGTCCATAGAAACAAGCAGGTGACAGACCCCCAACAAAAGTTACTTTAAATAATTTTAGGGATATCTTTTAGCATGTTCATAATTTGAGCAACAATATATAAATCATTTAAATTGTTTTCTGTTCTGTACATTTGAAGCTCTATTAGATCTCAAAATCTGTGCAAAATACTTGTACTTTTTACTCTTTAAGTTCATTTTTGAACAAGTACTTAAATCCTTAAGTAGATTTTTTTCATGTGATACTTTTTTTTTTGAGTATTTTTTTGCTCTGTATTTTTACTTAAATAACACAATTTAGTACTCCTTCCACCACTGACAGTGGCCATAGACTGTATATAGTAACATGGGCTCACATGCTCTGCTTTTGTTTACATTAAACACAGTGGGACCTGTTCTACGTCACAGCTCAGAGCGTGTTTGGCTTATTTTAAATTTTCCACCTCAGACGTGTGAAGTGTAAACATGCAGGTACAACGGAAATTGCTTGGCCTCTGAGTTCATTGTAGGAGTTGAGATAATCCCTCAGCCCGGTCGGTCTAATGCAGTAGTGCAGTATTGGACATAGAAACTGAAGGAAATTAAGGCAAGGCAAATATGCTTAAATGAACTTGACACTTTCTGTCGATTGTTAATAGAAGATTTGTACATTGATTGTAATAGATTACAAAAAATGTTCAGACCAAAAATAGTTATGTCATTCAAACCTAAAAAAAAGTCAGGCCAGAGCCAGGTTTAAAATTTACTAAAACTTTTATTTATTCTTTATTTCTGCCACAGATATTATTCAGTCCATAGAAAAACAGGATACAAAAAATTCGCAAGGCAACTAAATTAGTCCATAAAGTTCATTAAAGAGTGTCAATAGATCAAGATAGGAATTAGATCAATTAACAATTCTTTATGGTATTGTTAAAGGGCTGATATAATGCTATGTTATAATGCTGTTTCCTCATCACAAACATGCGTGGAGTTATGTTTTGTTTAACACAAAAAGCCTGCATATGTAGGCTGCGTTCTTCTCTCAAACAGAAAACATTCTGTTCCATCTTGGGATGTGATAATACAGGAAGTGTCTGAAATTGACAAATCTCTGAACTAAAGGTAAATGGTAGCTGATAAGATGAAAACTACCGTTTCACAACATCACAAGGTGGAACAGAGCATTCTGAGCTTTAGAGATGTAGACAGACTAACAATGAAGGATTACTCAAACGTGCGAATGAAATAAACCACAACTCCAGGTATGTTTTTGATGAGGTAAACACATTATAACATGGAGTAAAGCTCACTAATTGCAAAGATTTTAGTGCAACACAGACTTTCACTTCGACTTGAGACATAGCCATTGATGCAACAGTGTTTTGACTTAAGTACAGATTTTGAAATGTCTGAGAATGGCACACCCTTTTTGCAGAAGTTCCCACGGGCATCTTCTCCTTAATGCACTCATCTTGGTGTTGGCGAAATCTAAAGTTACTCAACATCCCTGAAATATTGTAATCTTCTTTTCTGTTTTAGCGATTCCCACAATGAAGAGCACCTCCTCCCTGCCTCGCCCAGTGAAAGAGAAATGGCAATACCTGTAAGCTCTTAAGAAATACAAATTAAAACTTAAAGGTGCACTGTGTAACTTTTCTGATGGAGGGTCTGCCATCTGCTTCTCTCCTTGGTGATGTTATTGCTTTGAGTGGGATGCTAACAGGGATGTAAACAAATATATTTTTTGTACTGTTTTGTATTTATTCAATTACAGGTGCAAAAACATGTATTATTATTGTGAGCAGGTCCACTTTTTCCACAGATCTGACCTGTAACTTTGCCTGGTGATGTAGCCTGCTTGTCTCCATGGAGATAGTTAAATTAAATGCCAAACTCAAGATCATTTCAGAAAAAAAACAACAACAACAAGCAATGAAGTGGTGGACCCTCTAACAGAAAAGTTAGACATTGTACCTTTAAAGATGCAATATGTAACCTTTCTGGTTGGCTACCATGGAGAGGTTATTGGTTTTTCTAGATTGTTCCACAGTGTAGCATTAAACATATCTGTTTTTATTGCAAACAAATAGCTGGTGCGGTCACTTGTTGTCTTTATGCAAATAAGATTAAGGTCGCAGTGTAGAATATTCCAGTGAATAATTAACATCTCCATGGAGACAAGCAGGTGCTGGATAAGAAACGTTACAAAGAGCATCTTTAAATATTTAGTTATATGCTTTAAAGGGCCCATTTTATGCTATTTTCTGATCTGTGTTATAATGTTGTTTTTTCCATACAAAACATACCTGAGTTGTGTTTTACTACATTCATATGTTTAACACACGAACCCTGCATATTTAGGCTGAGATCTCTCTCAAATGGAAAACACTCTTCCACTTTGTGATGTCATGTGGTAATACAGGAACTGCTCAACTTCATTTTTAAATGCTGTATTCCTTCACTAAAATCATTTGGATGATTTGAGCCCTGGAATTGTTCATCTCTTCTAAACTAAATGTAAAAGGTAACTGTTAACTTGAAAACTACCACTTCATGACATCACAAGGTGGAACAGAGCATTTTGAGCTTTGGAGATACCGACAGCCTAATAATCCAGGGTTACTCAAACATCTGTGAATGAAACAAAACACAACTCCAGGTGTGTTTTTGATGAGGTAACAGCATTATAACATGGCTTAAAACTCTCAAGAGTCAAATTTGCGTAATATAGAACCTTTAAAATTTCACTGACACTAACAAAGCATGTGTTTTTTTTCAGGAAGTCAACTGCACTTTGTTTTTAGTTGCTGGTTATGTTAAATATGGTCGCCCTTATGCCTGGATACGCTCCAACCATGAACGCCTTGTCAACATCGGGGGCATAGACTCGATGGTGAAAGATACACCCATGAAGCTCAAGTCCATTACTGATTGGCAAACACAAGGTAAGGAAACAATGTGAGGAATTCAAACAGGAGAGAGTTATCGTTTGATCGTGCACATTCAATAATTATCCAATTTTCCACAGGCTAAATCACATACAGATGTTGTAGTCTTTGTCTGGGTGGGCTATGGAAAAAAGTTTTAGAGTTGGACTGAAAAAAAACGACTCTCTCGCCCACTGGTCGTCTAAGAATATTTTCAAACATGTTTTATATTTTTTTCCAGGAATCCGAGTTTGGGACGTGGTGAGTGAGCTAGTGTCTCTCTGCACTGTCCCCTCTCCTTCTAATCCATTTGCTCTGGACTTGCGTTACGTCAAAAGTCTTCCCCTCACGGATCGTTTTCTTGTTACCGGAGCCCTACTCAACTTTCTGGAGATGTATATTGTCTATGGGAACCGAGATGAATTGCACTATGATAAAGGTAATCCAATACTGCCATATCAAACAATGAAAATACAGAATCACAAGTAAACTTTGCCTTCTAAAAGTAAGAACCAAGAATAAGATTTTGGTTATAGTAACAATTACAGTAAAACAAAAAGAAATAATATATTTAAAAAGTTACACATGTCTGATGAATAGTAGTATCTGGCACACTGCTACTATTTTACATTGTCCTTTATTTAACATAGTAAACAAGTGACGCTAGTATGCAAAGTGAAAACAAGAGTAAAACATGTGATGAGGTAAACATGTGGACAAACATCATAAATAGGCAAATGTGGTTGTGTCTGGTTGTGCTCTATGACGTGTGACGAGCACAATGGAAATATACTGCAGTTTTATACAGGATTATTGGTTTGTTCTCAAGGAAGCCAGCAGGTGTCGCTATTAAGCTACATAAAAATCTCAAATCTACACTTAAGTGTTATTTGAATGTGTTATTTTAACATGTATTATTTTGTCTTTCCAGTGGTCGAGGAGGTGAAACCTCTAAGGCGCCTGCACGTCCGATCTCTTCTGGAGCTGCAGCAGCAAAGAGAGAGCTCCAGACTTACCACCAGCCCCATCACCTGAGGACCAGCCCCATCAGAAGCCTCATCACAGCCACCTCACCCGAGGAACTGCCTCCCTGCTCATTCACAACTGAGCAAAATGTGAAAAGTACTCACCAAAATGTAAAAACTGCAGTTTGGACATTTTATTTGAGCAGCACTGAGGTGGTGTACAGACTGGCTATACTCCAGGTTAGCAATCTATTTGTGTTAGTTGTATAGTACAGACAGTCTGGTGGGAGTGAATGGGGAAATTCAGTCAGGAAAGAAAAGGGCCTGGCAGTAGATCTCATCCACCACAGCTCTGAGTCACAAGAGCATGTGCAAGGCAACAATAAGCAGGCTGTCTTTAACAGTCGCCTACAAATGAGGAAGTGGAGGGTGGGATCTGCTGGTGTATTCTTACAGTTAGATATTGCAGTCACATGTGTTTCAAAAGCTCATGTCCTGGGAACTCAGTCACAAGACTGAAAAATCCCTGGACCTGCCCCATGTCATGCCCAGTCACCTCAAATCACCTCTGCTCCGCTGGGCCAAATTTATCACAAATTATTACTACATGGGTTAAAGAGACAGTAGAGCTTAACATAAAAACAACAAACAAGTGAATGTTGTATAAAAACTTTTAATATTTGATAAAATACATATTTAAATATGTAGATGACATAAAAACAGTACATTGATAAAATATCTTTGAGCAGGCACAAAAACAGCCTTTACAGAGGCCATGCCTTTTGTAGAATAGAAAAATCAACACATTAAAACCTAGTGGCATGACAGAACCACAGGCTCCTGGTCTAGCTTAGTTTTGGTCTAAAATACTGATGGTAGCTGTATCTACCAGTGACCCTCTGTCTGTCAAACAACTGTAAACCTTACACTTAATCACCTTCATAAGTGTGTTATGCAATGCTGCACACATCAGTGCCTCAGTGTCATTTTAACTGGACATGGGGCACCTTTTAAGGCCAAAGTAACAAAAGCACACTGTAGCTATCCGATATGCAAAGTCATGGTTGGATGGCAGGAAGAATTCGGGGCCTTCTTAAGTATTGGATCTCAAATTCCCCCAAGAGGAATGCAGGTGCATGGGCGCACATTCCACACTGAAGCTCTACACAGAACACAGCGTTCCCAGTGTTGGGGCACAAACAGCCCTCCGTGTCATGGCTCACTGCCTTTTCCACATAAATGCTAATTCAGCGTCGGGACAGTCAAAAGTTCATGTTAAATAGGCATCCTTCTCTAAATTTGGCATAGATTCTGAAATATTATAGGTCAACATTTTCTTGAAAGCTACAGAAGATCTGCCCTGTTTTCAGAAATAACCAAGTTTTTGTTCTTTGTCTATCAAAGATTATACATCTTTAACTCTTTAAGTTTACTTTATTTAACTTCATGATGATAATGCAGTTTCATCCATGATTTTGCCCAAAGTATCACAGAGTAATGTGTTTTCTAGTGCCTCTGGCCTGGGACACACTGCTGTCAAAATTGCCAGTTAAATAAAGATAATCCTTCAAAAAAAGTGACATCTTTGTGTCAACTTAAAGATGTTTGTGCTTCCTGCATTTAAACCACAGCTCGGACCGTCACTGCCTTTCACCCAAATAGTGAAACAAGCAGCACAGGAAGTCCCCTGTGTCTGAGGAGACTCTAAAGTCTCCGTAAAACTGTCGACAGCTCACAGCTGTGATATTACAGGAGTGAACAGAAAACCTGACATCAACATTCAGGCCCACACTCGTCCAGTCTGTCCCTGTAGCACAGTCACAGTGAGGTTGGGTTTGATATAGTCCCGATTTGAAAGCAGAGCTCAGTTCCAGCTGTCTGATTCAGAGCCTCTTCTGGTTATGGCTCGGAGAGGGCTGCGGGACACAGAGCCTCTCTTCTTCCAACGAACTGAAATAAAAAGGAGAAAGACGTCAGTGATGCTTGCAGCTGAAAGTTCACCGTTAAAATGTTAATGAACATAAGCAGTGAAAGTTGTGCGTCAGAAGAGCTGACTGAGCTACTCATTTACCATCCCTACATGTTTTCTAGGTTTACCTCTGTGTGCAACAGGTCAAAAACTTTAGCCTTTAGGACAAGAGAAAGCCTTACCTTTGCCGATACTGGCCGGGAGTGTGTGGCTCTTTGTGTTGGAGTTGTTGGTGTCCTCGATGCGCTCGGCCTTGTTCTTTGATGCCATTGTGTTGGGGGCATCCTGCCAGTCGCTCAGTGCCCTCTCAAAGGAGTGTGCCAGGCAGGCAGTCATGTCCTTGGCTCGCTCCGCCCGACTGCACCAGAACACACGGCATTGCAGCTGCTGGCCCTGGTGCTTACAGATGTATAGGAACACATTGGGCCTGGTGGCATCAGCGGCGCAGTAGGCAATGTCCTGAAGGTAAGTCTTGGTTAGCTGTCGGCCTGTGCTCAGCTCTTTGACCTCCACGTATCGCGGCCGCACCACCAGGGCGTGGTCTTTGCTCAGTTTCTTCCCACTGGCGATGCCATCCAGCAGGTGCTGAATGGCATACTGAGCCTGCTCCCGGTCCAGGGAGAAGATCTTCTCTGTGCCCAGGTAGTGCACCTTGAACAGAGGGTCCCCGTGAGACAGGGTCTCCAGGCGGTCTCGCTTGAAGCGGCGGCGGAGCGCAGCTGGAGAGTTCTTGAGGGTTTGCATGAGGTGGAATGTGCTCAAAGACATGGTGTCTTGTCTTTGCTCTGAAGGTCAGTTAGTACAGGTCCTTCTCCCCTTTGCACCTCAGGAAATGGAGAGGAGTTACATCCACTGGTGTTATCTGCAATGAGCCAAACAAGGACAGTGATATTAGCAAGGTAAAAGTACCTCCTGAAGTATTAAGAGTACACACTGACATTCAACTCCCCCATATTTCACAGTTCACTGCTAATGTTATTCTTCATTCATTTGGGTGGTTACATATCCAGTGCACTGTGGACTGCTGCACTGTGTGAACCAGAGCAAATGCCACCAACGAGATCAGTTACAAAAGTGACGCATTCACTGACCAATATTCATTCACTACAGACACCATACTATTAAATATTTACAGTCAGTCGGGAATCACAGCCTCACCAGACCAGACCTGTCTGAGGCCAGCTGTTGGCACCTCACACAAATGTCCAGGCAATTTCTCATCACATCAATGGCAGTGTTTCACATTAGTAGAACTGAATATATATAGTCTAATTTTGCCTCCATAATCTTAGAAGAAACAGAGCAGTAAATTTTTAAAAAATTATAACTATAACTTTATTTCATCTTTAATCATTCCCTTTTTTTTTTAAACAAGCAGAGGCACTGACATATTTACTCCGAAGATTGAATTCAATAAAAAGATTCAATGTGGACTCCCTGTGCCACCATTGTCTGTGTATAAACCTGTGGGAAATACTGAATGGCATATTTTTGCATTGAGCTACTGAAGTCTCTTTGGACAGTCTGACCTGTAAACTTTTGGTCTTATGCAACAAGTACATCTGGCCTCCCATTGTGCTTCATCCCCCAAACTCACAGAAACGCCTCTTCTCCATTGTGTCTCCACTTTATTTTTTCCCCTTTCGCTTTTCTTGGCCATTCTTTCAACATCCTCCAAACCTCATCAGAAGCCAGTGGCTGAGAGAGCTCGGAGGACATGGCCATTGTGAGAGCACAGGAAGCAGCTTTGCATTCCCACCAAAATGTTTTTTCTACAAACAATTGCATGCTTTGGTGAGTGTGTCATGTTTAAGTGGGAGAAGGGATAAAATCTAAAGCCTTCATATCTCTGACCCCTGGAGATGGATGCAGACTTGGACTTAAACAAACTTGACTGATCCACAAAGAGCAAAAATATAAAATGATGACAATACATTTAAAATACGTAACAAAACAGCAAGAGACTGGTGTCAGATAAGGCAAAATTATATAAATGTATATGCAAGTTAAAAAAAATAAAATAAAATACAGGCTTATCATGATAACTAATTTTGAAGCACAATATACTGCTATAGAGAAACCAGTCTTTTGTTGTCTTTTACAGCTTCTGTAGCCAAATAATTTTACTTGTGGATCAATAAATTTTGTCTGAGTCTAGAGGAATATTATGATAAATAATAATGTTGAAAAAATAGCCCTGGAAGTTCAAATCTTACCATATTACATAATAAACTGAAGAAATTATTGCAATAAAATGTCCATATTGAGCCCCAAGTCTTCATATATTTGAGTCAATATAGTAATTATTGTGACAGGATTATGTAGATTTCACTGTTCTGTTACAAACAATCATTCGCTCCCTCACTCTGAAATACAGCCAGCTGCAGAGGGCACGTGTAGTGTCATGCTTAAAGTGTAATTGGTGCAATTAGACTAATTAAAAGAGGAGCGGAGATGTAAGCCATATTAGAATTATGATTTTATGCTTGAACACCCCGAATAACTTTTAGCAAAACAACACCTACATTGTTAATAGAAAAACTAACTCATTAAATAGGAAAAATCTTCTAAACTGTGTCAGAAAAAAATGCTGTCAAAAGTCCACTCTATTATTCATGCAAAGTTCTCATACTGTTTATTTAAAAAGAGTCTAATAATGTTGTATGTACAGTTGTAACATAAATTAAAAAGTAGCCCATAATTTAAAATTTGGAATCAGAAGTAGTAGACTAAATAAACCAGACAAAAAAATTAAAAAAAAAAAGGCTTGTAACTCACCTGTTAACAGTTGTATGCAGCGCTGTCCTCGCGGGCTTTACGAAGCGTCAGGTGAAGTCTGCACGATTATTTTATGGTTAAATTCCAATAAGGCTCAGCACTTCTCGCGCCAAATTCAGTCCGTGTCTCATACTAATCTTTTCCTCCACAGATACTTATTTAAGCGCTCACCGGTGAGTTTTATACCGCCTGGACCTCGCTCCTCTGCCTCGGTTTTTCCGTGTGTGAGTGAGCTGACTGAATGGAGCAGCGCACAACCGTTTTAAACAGCGTAGGCGCGCGCACGTCACCCTCGTGGACGCGCGTCATTTGCGTTTGAGTTGCGAAGGTGCGCGCTGATTGGCCGAGAGCAGCATTGAAGAGGGGGGAGGGCTGCGGGGAAACAGCAGTGATCCAGGTTTCAAGAGAAAGTGACTGTTCACTATAAAGTGCTCAAAGCCAGATTTGGAGCGCATACGTCCTTTGAAATGTAACAGTGTTTGCTACGTAGGTCAGCTGGAGATCTTTTGATGACTAAGAATTGTGTTCAGTCATGTACTAATCAGTGATTCTCATCTCCATTCTTCTCCTCAAGCAAGAAGTAACTGCATGCAAGGGCTTTCAGACAGCTAGAGGCCCAAGTGAAAGTGTAGTATCAGGTAAGCTACAGTAACAGACTCTACTCAGTTTACTGTTTGGTTCAAGACACTTAACCCACCTGTTAACATTGTCTAGAGTTCTGGCTCATTGAGAGAAATATATTTTTTTTTAAAGTTAAGATTTTTTAGTTTCAATGCAATTACAATACAATAGATTTGTATCTGCCAATACCCAATATTACAGAGACTGAAAACAGCATTTATTTCCTATAAGCAAGAAAATAATAAAATAAGACAGAACTGATCCAAATGTGTTATGGAGCTGTTATTCATCTCTGAAGACCAACTCTGTGTAAATAAAAATTCAAATATTATAGACTTTCTGAGTCAACTACCACCAGTAAACAGTCTTATTTGGAAGCCAATATCCCGTCCAGCAATTTTTTCAGTATCAGTGCCAATGTCTGATACCCGTATTGGATCAGTGCATCCCTAATAAAAGTGCTTTTGGAAACTTGCTTTTCAATTGGCCTTAAGACTTTTTTCTGATTAGAGTAAGTATAGACCAGAAATAGGCAGCACAGGATTTCTTCAATAAATCAAAAGTTACTGGTAACTAGTTTTACTTTGGTAAAGTCATAATTCAATGTGTGCAGTTGTATCTCTTTATAGCACACTCAATTAAACTGTCAAAAGAGAGCCTGGCTGCAATGGCTCTGAAAATAGTAAAGTAATAATTATGTGACCACAGTATGACAATATGAATAATTTTGTACCAGCCCAGTAATGTCTCATAATTTGGGCAGTGATGATAATGTTTTTAGTTACACCCAAATTAAAATGTGTTTTGTAACATATTCTGATACACTGTCCAATCAGAGTACTGTATTCTGAATGCTCTGAATACTTTTACACTGAGTTGCATTTAAATTTTAATTTAAGAACATGCCGATCTTATTTTTGTTACTCTGTTTGTTATGCATTTGTGTATGTCCAATTAGAGATGAAAAATCACACATGCACTCACCACAAGAGCAGTGTTTTCTGTTGTCCTCACTAATACAGTGCAGTTTAAAGTCAAAATTGCATGATGAAGCACCACCATGAATCCTTTTAATTTAGGATACAATACAACCATGTGAAAAAGTAACTGCACTGGAATACAGTTACTCAAAATTAGTATTCAGAATATGTATTCAGTATGCATCAGAGAAAAGTATGCACCGTTTGTGTCAAAACCAAACATGGCTGCTTACACATAAAAAAGGAGCAACATCTACATAAAATACTGAGAAACAGTGTCGATTTTTATAGCATCAACAATAAAAGCGCCAAACTATTACTTATCTCAGGTAAAAGAAGTTATCTAATTTGTTCTGAATGTTATGATAATTTTAAAGTGGAGATGTCTTCCACAGTTAAGGGACACTCAAGAGGAATTTCAAGTTTCAATGGAGGATTTTCATGGTCTATGGTCCAATTCGAACAGAATGTAGAAGAGACTGGCTGGTCAAGCAACCAAGTCTGGAGGGAACTTCACAAATGTGCACAAACAGCTAACCTATTTTCAGTTTTGACATATAGGGGCCAAAGCAAACAGAGACGTGTTTGAGGTACTGTGTGACTGCCTTCTGCTGTAGAATCATCTGAAAGCCACTACCTGTCATTAACATCACATTGCGTCACTGGGTCTTGTTAATGGGACCACTGGCCTCTTTGGCGCAGCTCTGCCCTTCATGTTTGTGCTGAAGGCATTCAGAACAGTGGCAGAGGAAAACCTTAAATGATACCATGTGTGTTTGCATGTGTGGCGGGCGTGGGGGAACAGAGGAGCCCCTGTTTCGTCTGGGTCCAGCCCAACAACAGTTAAGTTGCGCACGTCACGCCCGCCCGCTGCACACTGGAACTATTCTGGGGCAGCTCTGACATAATGGACCATCTTAGACTCACCGCCCTCCTTACGCACCTCAACGTCTGTAGACCAGAGTTTGCCTCATACTGTGGCAAAGTACAGATCCTGCACTTTCTGTGAAAACAATTTATCATGTCGCGGCTGACGCATGTACCTGGAGCCTATAACAAGAATAAAAAACAGCATATTGTTAGCATATACTGTCTGTATATGCAGTTCAGGGAGGATTAGTGCCTTTGTCCTTGGCTGAACTTCAGTAAGTTTTAGCATATTTGTTCATTTATTTATTTATTTTTTCGATAGGATGTTAATGAACAGACATGATACAACATGAATGTAAACATACCAAATTATACCCAACAGGGCCAAACTAGAAAATATTGCACACTCCACTCATTACATTGTTCCCATTATTGCACAATCTGAAAATAGTATAATATTATATCAGTATTAAATTAAATCATTTCTCTTTCCATCTTTCAAGATTTATCCAGTTTTGGCACTGGCTAAAAGGTACTTTGGTTTTCCAACATAATCTGTGGAAGTAAAAATGTTAAATGGGTGTAGGCCTGATTTGTGTAGGGGAACACAAGTGTGCTTTGATGTAGGCTTATTGTCAAGTGTGCCTTATAAAAAGTTATAATTTGAAAAGTTAAAAACATAATTTAGTTTGAATTTTTTAAGTTTGAAATGAACTTAGAATACTATAGAACTGTGTTTATATGCACTACCTCGAATTGCCTTTAGTGTGAATTATGATTAGAGGGCCCTGTGGGATCTTCAGTTCTGCAGCCTTACTGGGAAAGACTGTTCTTATAATACCAACATTAGTACAACAACTACTACTACTACTACATCAGCTCTAAGACCAGTTTGTTTACCCTGGCCATGTAGCTAATGTCAGCTTCTCCTAGTCCTAATGAAGTAAATTAGGAAAAGCGTGGGTGTGGCTGCAGTCATTGAGAATCAAAATAAATGATGTGACTGCTGCTGGAGAGTGAAACCAGAAGCTCTCAGTCCTCATGGGAAATTATTACAGCTCAGTACAACAGTAACAAAGTCTGTAGATGTAAATGTGTGAAAAAAGCATGTGATTCTGCAAACTACACTTAATATTTTAAACTGTGGTTAGATAAGAAAGGAAATGAGTGAAAAATAACTATTAAAGGTACACTGTGCAACTTTGTCTCTCGTTTGTTTCTTAATACTTTGGTTTAAATCGTCCGCAGTATGGTATCAAACTCATCTGTCTTGCATATATTCAAGTTCAAGTGTTATTTATTGTTCTAAAATATCTTAAAAAAAAACATTGATTCTTACTGTGAGTACAAAAATCTAACTTGTAATTTGACTTCATGGAGATTCTTAAGTTTATGGCTATACTGTGGAACATTTTAGGCACATCTTCATGGAGACAAGCAGGTGACGGACCCTCCACCAGAGAAGTTACACAGTGCACCTTTAACACTGATTCAATTATTCTCTATAAGTAGGAAGCAACAAAAGAGTTACTCCAGGGGATACTTGCGTGCTTCTTCCAGTTTTCCTAGAAAGATCAGTTTAGTGGCGTTAAATCGCTTCTGGGAAAGATCGCATGTTTACAATTGTTTCACTTTGGTGTCACGAACTTACCTGAAAATTAACATTATAAGAAGATTAACTTAAGAAACAGCTGTTCGTGTTTTGTAATCTACAGCACACTTCCCCTTTTTGTCCCCTCTACAAATCACAAACAGCATCAGTAAAACGTACAGTCTGTCACTGATCTGATCTAGTCCCTAAGTTTGTCATCTCATAAACCTTTCTATCTATTCTAAACTACTGAAGCTGGTTCCTTATTGTCATTCAAATCCTGAACTTTTACCTACATCTGTGCGTTGCATAAAGAACATGCCAGGCAACTGAAAACAAGTGTGTCAACAAATCCAATTGCGCGTGTCTAAACTTAAAATACGTGTGTTTGATGTTGTACCTTTGCCAACAGAAAGCACATGTGGAAAGATACTTGTTCTTCAGTAATTTATTTAAATGGATAAATCGTGACATTTGGACAATGCAATCAAAGTATCTCTAAAGGGCCCATATTATGCTATTTTTTGATCTACGTTATAATGTTGGTTCCTCATCACAACAATACCTGGAGTTGTTTCATTCACAGATGTTTAATACACAAACTCTGCATATTTAGGCTGAGTTCTTCTCTCAAACAGGAAAGTTTTTCATCTCCATGCACCTTCACTAGAATTTGGATGATTTCAGCCCTGGAATTGCCTGTCTCTACTGAACAAAGCATAAAAGGTTGCAGTTAAGTTGAAAACTACAGTTTCATGACATCACAAAGTTAAACAGAGCGTTTTGAGCGCTGGAGATGTAGACAGATTAATGTGAATGAAACAAAACACAACTCCAGATTTGTTTTAGAGGAGGTAACAACATTATAACATGGCTTAAAGTTCACAAGAGTAATTTGTGCATTATAGGACCTGTATTACCACATGACATCACGAGGTGGAATAGAGTGTTTTGAGAGAAGTTTGAGAGAAGAACTAAATACGCAGGGTTTGTTTGTTAAACATGTGTGAATGAAACAAAACACAGCCCCAAGTAGTTTGTGACAAGGAAACAACATTATAACAGATCAGAGAATAGAGTATTATGGGCCCTTTAAATGTCAAAAGCCAAATCCCATGACAAACTAAGCATTCACTAAAAGGTGTACACATTCATTGAACTATTGCTGCTCCACTTTGCAGGTTCTGATTGGAAAGGGTACATCATCTAATTCCTCTAACCTTCCCAGTTTTTTATTGTCTCCTTCCTGAATCTCACGCTCCCACATCAGGTTCTGTCCATGGGAGGATTCACCTGGAAGAAAGCATGTGTACAAAGAATGCCCTGGAGTTAGACAGATTCAGTGAAGGTGTGTTGTGTAATGTTGACAGTCAGCTGGTGCAGGTTTTCTACTGTGAGCATGACTTTTCAACAAAGAAAACAAAGGGCATCTCTGTACATGCTAGAGATGGCCTGGAAAACTTTGTAATAGCATCTATCATGAGCTCAGAGTAACAGCTGCTATAAGCAGTAGTGGATTACTTAAGTAAAAGTACAGATACCAGATCAAAGAAACACTCACATGTATCACATGAAA